GTTAAACGATGTGTTTTTTCTTCTTTGTGTGATGTCTTCATTATGTTACTGCATCCAACACGACCAATGGGCAGTAGGGTCTGAAGCAGTTGGTTGGGGGGGGGGGGTTTGGAGGTGCTGGTCTTCCCCGGAGGCGATAATCCTAGCTACGCCATTGCTAACTGCAAACTACCTTCATTTGATGCGTTAAATTTTGTTAATGTCTGAATGATTTTGATAGAATTAAATTCCAAAGATTAGTTGTTTTTTTTTCGTATTTCAGTTTGTTCGCGTGGTTACCATGGGGACGGCTGTTCCAAGAAATGCCCAGATGGCTGTGCCGATGGAAGTTGTCATCACGTGACTGGAGTCTGTTTCAAATGTCATCATGGTTATCTTGGGAAAAGTTGTGACAAAGGTAGATTTGGGCAGAATTATGGGCGCTAGACGTCAGTTAGATTTGTGGCTATGCGCTGCTTAACACGAGTTAAAGTTACCAAATGAAGTGAGCTGATAATGGTTTGATTTACTCTAAGGATGATGAGGATGGTTTGATCTACTCTAGTGATGCTTGTGATGGTTTGATCTACTCTAGTGATGCTGGGATGGTTTGATCTACTCTAGTGATGCTTGTGATGGTTTGATATACTCTAGAGATGCTGGTGTAGGTTTGATCTACTCTAGTGATACTGATGATGGTTTGACCTACTCTAGTGATGCTTGTGATGGTTTCATCTACTCTAGCGATGCTTGTGATAGTTTGACCTACTCTAGCGATGCTTGTGATGGTTTGATCTACTCTAGAGATGCTGGTGATGGTTTGATCTACTCTAGTGATACTGATGATGGTTTGACCTATTCTAGTTATGCTTGTGATTGTTTGATATGCTCTAGTAATGCTGGTGATGGTTTGATCTACTCTAATGATGCTGGTGATGATTTGGTCTACTCTAGTGATGCTGGTGATGTTTTGATCCCATCTAATGATGCTGATGATGTTTAAATCTACTCTAGTGATATATGCTCCAGATTAGAACCGATCCAAATGTATCACTAATGGAAGATTGGCAATTTAAGAAACATTTGTCTTCTTCATTATTATGTAATCCCTCTCTTTCAAATGTTCAACGCTTATTCCATTTTCTCTGCTTCAGTTATACAAACAATTGTTTATTTCAGAATGTGACCACCCTCATTGGGGCCTCAACTGCTCAAGCTGGTGTAGTAGAGAGTGTTTCAAAGGATCGTGCAACCACGTGACTGGTCAGTGTATCGAGGGGTGTAACCTTGGATACCTATTACCGAACTGCGTCGAAGGTAGAGAAAAAAAGCTTAAAGTTTTTATAAGAGTAGATGCATTGCGAAGCATTATGAAATAATTTACAAACAGTCACACAGCCGTCATTTATGACGATAAAATAATTTAAATATATTTAGTGGAGCTATATTGACTGTTGTTGTTTTTTTTGTTTTTTTTGTTTGTTCATAGAGTGTCCCTACGGTTACTATGGTGATAACTGCTCAAAATCCTGTCCTCCTGGATGTTCAGAAGAAGGGTGCACGGTCGAGTACGGTGTCTGCTACACTTGTAATTCTGGTTACCTTGGTGAACATTGCGACAGAAGTACGGTCAATTGCTCACTAATATCCTAATTTGACTGTTTGTTTTTTAAATCATTGATTTTGGTCACATTTTATTTTTGCATCATTTATTTTGGTCACATTTTGCTTTACGTCATTGAGTATGGTCACATTTTGTTTTGCATCATTCACGTTGGTCACAATTTATTTTACATCATTCATTTTGGTCAATTTTTGCTTTGCATCATTCACTTTGGTCACATTTTGTTTTACATCATTCACATTTGTCACAATTTATTTTACATCATTTACTTTGGTCACATTTTGTTTTGCATCATTCACTTTGGTCACATTTTCTTAAACATCTTCAAGTGGTCACATTTTGTTTCACATTATTAACATCTGTCACATTTGTTTTGATTTCATGTCCTAGTTCTCTATTTGTTCCATATCATTTTGCATCTTTTTTGGGACATCGCGTTGTGTGATGTTTTTGTTTAGCTTTGAAATCCTATCAAAGTGTATTGGAATGTAGGATCTAAGTGTTCTACCAATTCATGTGAGAGGTGCAGTTGGAAAATCATTTTACCCTCATAAATATTGAAAGAAAATTAAAAGATTCTTGGTGTTGACTTGGGCAGCACCATCATCATAGAGAAATGTGCAGACAGTTGCGTAGAATGGTTGTAAACAGGGGCATGTCCACCTCAATCAGCATTTTCGGCCCGCTGCGGTGTTCATAGTGGGATACGCTGAGCAAGACACTGAGGGAAAGCTGCCATCGTATTAGTGGGATACACTGAGAAAGACACTGAGGGAGAGATGCCATCGTATTAGTGAGATACGCTGAGCAAGACACTGAGGGCGAGCTGCCATCGTATTAGTGGGATACACTGAGAAAGACACTGAGGGCGAGCTGCCATCGTATTAGTGGGATACACTGAGAAAGACACTGATGTTGAGCTGCCGTCGTATTAGTGGGATACACTGAGAAAGACACTGAGGGAAAGCTGCCATCGTATTAGTGGGATACACTGAGAAAGACACTGAGGGAGAGCTGCCATCGTATTAGTGTGATACACTGAGAAAGACACTGATGTTGAGCTGCCATCGTATTAGTGGGATACACTGAGAAAGACACTGAGGGAAAGCTGCCATCGTATTAGTGGGATACACTGAGAAAGACACTGAGGGAGAGCTGCCATCGTATTAGTGGGATACACTGAGAAAGACACTGAGGGAGAGCTGCCATCGTATTAGTGGGATACACTGAGAAAGACACTGATGTTGAGCTGCCATCGTATTAGTGGGATACACTGAGAAAGACACTGATGTTGAGCTGCCATCGTATTAGTGGGATACACTGAGAAAGACACTGAGGGAGAGCTGCCATCGTATTAGTGGGATACACTGAGAAAGACACTGATGGAGAGCTGCCATCGTATTAGTGGGATACACTGAGAAAGACACTGAGGGAGAGCTGCCATCGTATTAGTGGGATACACTGAGAAAGACACTGAGGGCGAGCTGCCATCGTATTCGTGGGATACACCGAGAAAGACACTGATGTTGAGCTGCCATCGTATTAGTGGGATACACTGAGAAAGACACTGAGGGAGAGCTGCCATCGTATTAGTGGGATACACCGAGAAAGACACTGAGGGCGAGCTGCCATCGTATTCGTGGGATACACCGAGAAAGACACTGATGGAGAGCTGCCATCGTATTCGTTGGATACACTGAGAAAGACACTGAGGGAGAGCTGCCATCGTATTAGTGGGATACACCGAGAAAGACACTGAGGGCGAGCTGCCATCGTATTCGTGGGATACACCGAGAAAGACACTGATGGAGAGCTGCCATCGTATTCGTTGGATACACTGAGAAAGACACTGAGGGAGAGCTGCCATCGTATTAGTGGGATACACCGAGAAAGACACTGAGGGCGAGCTGCCATCGTATTCGTGGGATACACCGAGAAAGACACTGATGGAGAGCTGCCATCGTATTCGTTGGATACACCGAGAAAGACACTGAGGGAGGGCTGCCATCGTATTAGTGGGATACACTGAGAAAGACACTGAGGGAGGGCTGCCATCGTATTAGTGGGATACACTGTGAAAGACACTGAGGGAGAGCTGACATCGTATTAGTGGGATACACTGAGAAAGACACTGAGGGAGGGCTGCCGTCTTATTAGTGGGATACACTGAGAAAGACACTGAGGGAAAGCTGCCATCGTATTAGTGGGATACACTGAGAAAGACACTGAGAAAGAGCTGCCATCGTATTAGTGGGATACACTGAGAATGACACTGAGGGAGAGGGGTATGTCCTAATGGTGGCGCTACAGGATGATGAATTTTTTTTTTAAAGCGATTTTCAATCGTGCATTTGAAACCAGACTGTATTCGTGTTTTTTTAAGCTCTAAGGAAAATTAATTCCGACAAGAAAACCCCAAAACATACACGCATCCCCTACGCACACGCATTCCCTACATACACGCACCCTTACACACACGCATACCCTACACACATGCATACCCTACACACACGCATCTACTAAACAGTCATGCAACCCGCCGACCCCCCCACCCCCCTTCCAAAAACTTCAAGTGGCTTCTTTCAAAGTGAATTTTGAGTAAATATGTAACTGGTAGGAATATTTTGTTTCAGAGTGTGACTTCGGCCTTTGGCACGCCGACTGTTCCTTCTCGTGTAGCGAAATGTGTTTGACTGGCTCTTGCAACCACGTGACTGGTCAGTGTGACCTTGGCTGTGTACCTGGATACCAGCCGCCAAACTGCGATGAAGGTAATCAAATAAAACAACTTCATATTTTCATTTACTTAAAGCGCAGATGCTTTACGCTGGACTTAGGGTTTAAATGCTAAATATAAGTTGTTGGTTTTTTTTTTACTTATCAAAATTATGTTAAAAGTGTTTTAATACCCGTACATGGCCGTAATAACCTATTCTTTACAATGTATCACGGGATATCAGGGTGATGTGTGTGACGAAAGTACGGAGTGGGAACTACATGTCCTTTTCATTGAGACCAAGCTCCACTCTGTGTCATCGCGCGTGTTATATTTTCTATATAAGCTTGTGGTAAGGCAGTGGTCAGCAAATCACGGCCCGCGAGCCGCATGCTGTTCTTTAACGACCTCAGTGCAGCTCGGCCGTTAGGCCCCAAATCGGTTTTTTCATCGAATAAAATGGTTCTTTGCAGGTTCTTGAAAAGAAGTTTGGATATGAAATTTTTTTAGAACCGCTCTGCTGCTGATTTTCGGCTCTTTTGACAGAGTTCGCCGTCCACTGTGGTAAGTCAACCTTAAGTTTCCCTCAAAATAGCAAACATAGAAAATGTCGGCTCTAAGTACCGGCATTTCGGACAGTGACCCGGGTGCCATATGATTGGGGCGCCATCAACAAACTTCCAAAATAGGCAAAATCGTTGCATGTGGTCGCCATGGAAGAACAATAGAAAGTGTACAACAAAAAGATTTGCTGACCTAAGGCCTAGGGGAAAAATGTCATTAGTAGGCTAATTGTTCATTTTGCCATCGGTAGGCTAATTGTTCATTTTGTCAACGGTAGGCTATTTGTTCATACTGTCCACGGTAGGCTAATTGTTCATACTCTCAACGGTAGGGTAATTGTTCATACTGTTAACGGTAGGCTAATTTTTCATACTGTCCACGGTATGCTAATTATTCATACTGTCCACGGTAGGCTAATTGTTGATACTATCCACGATAGGCTAATGGTTCATACTGTCCACGGTAGGCTAATTTTTCATACCTCCATCGGTAAGCTAATTGTTCATACTGCAAAGGTAAGCTAATTTTTCACACTGCCCAAGAAAGCTAATTGTTCTTACTGTGAAAGTACACATTAAGAAAAACAATTGCCCTGGTCGTTTTTTCTTTAAAAAAAACAACCTAGGTAATAATCTCATTACATAATCCCGTTTATTTTCCTCGCACAAATTTGTTCGCTTAAACTTCTAACGGGTGCCAAAGCTACGTTGCACCAACAACTTAGAACATCAATTTCGCTCCCTTTTCAATAAATGTACACTCAGGTTAGCATGACATTGAAACGTCACGTAGAACCGTGTCTACCGGTTATGTGGTTATAGCATGGCTACGGTTAGTGCCTCTCAGAGGCCGGGCAAAGGTGTGTTCCACTTTTCAAAGGAAAAATACAACTGTATTTTTAAAGAAAAAATAAAATTCCTTCCCTCTCAATGTGAGAAAAGTGCCGAGCGCCCCGACTGCATTATTGCATTTGAAAAAAAAAAAACAGAGAGTTTCGACGGTTACTATGGAAACAACTGCTCCCAGGTTTGTTCGGTCGGGTGCACGTGGGAGGAATGTGACCACATGACCGGTCACTGTTTCAGCTGTGTTCCCGGTTACCAGGGCGACACATGTAACGTGGGTAAGTTTGCTTATATGGCCATCCGGGTGATCCAATCGGTCAGCATACAGTTCAGTATGGCTTGTATTTATTTAGTATTAAATCCATGTGTGTTTGTTTGTGTATATAACTTGACTCACTAAAGTATCTAACTGAACGACTGCATTCAAGCTTCCCGCAATAGCAATGGATATTTCTTGAGGTTTTTTTTTTTTTACTGTGCTCTGTTTGTTGTAATGTTTTCATTAGTCCTGTGCGCTGAACATTTATCTGATAACATTTATGTCTAATTTTCTTCATGATTTTTTTCTTTTATATATAATAACAGTTTGTGACTTTGGAAAGTGGGGTCAGAACTGTAGTCATTCATGTGACACGAAGTGCTTAAACAACACGTGTGACCCCGTGAGGGGTCAGTGTAACCAGGGTTGTGTGGCGGGTTATAAGACGCCGTACTGTACTGAAGGTAAGGCATCCGTTGTTTTTCTTTCAACAACAACAAAAAATAAAGACCTACAAACACCGAGAACAAAACCAGAACAAGAAAATGAAAAGACAGTGCCTGCACACAAGTATAATATCGAATAGGCATGTTGTAATTGATATGAAGCAAATTATAGTAGTTTGAAAATCTAATTTAACATTTCAATCCACTGAACATTTAGAAAATAAACTTTATTTTTATACGATTTCCTTCACAAAAAAATCACACATTAATAAATATATGATGTCTTTTGTAAACAACTCATGTCTTCTTAACAATTATGTCGGTTACATAAGTTTTATAAATATATACCAATTTTGAAAACTCATAAATGTATAGCCCTCTCTACAGAAAAATGTTGTTCTTTTGACTTTGGTAAATCTTGGAAATATTTAGGAATAAATGTTTTTCTTTGGTTTTTCATGTCGTTTAAAATGTAAAACTATTTTAGCATTTGTGAAATAGTCGTCGCTTAAAAGTGCTTAAAACCAGATCAGATGTGCAGCAAATTCATCCGTTTTATTATGGCACAATTTAATATGGCACAGATGTGCAGTAACTTCATCCAATTAAAATGCAACAATTTAATTTATTACAACAAGTTGAAGTCATTTACTTAAGTATTTAGTTTTTGATTCCATCTTTCTTGACTATGTTTTTTGGGACTGACTAATCAGAAACTTAAATAAAAAATCAATTTCTTCTTCATCAAATACAAAAAGAAAAAAAAGTAAAGAAAAGAGATGAAAATAAATTTCACAAAAATTTAACATTGATTGTAACTTTTGATAGTGAACTCACGGTGTAAAAAGGAGGAAAGAAGTGAGTGGGAAGTTTTAAATAACATCGCTATCTTTGGGGTTGGAGGAGTTTAGAGTTTTAAAAAAAAATAACATAGTCATCTTTTGGGGCAACAACCTTACAATTTGTAGTGTCCTCACGCCCCCACTCCAAACCTCACCGTTTCTAAAAGCTACAGCACCAAATAATTCTAAATAGGGTTTTAAACAATACTATTTTTTGTCTGTTTTCCAGTGTGTAAACACGGTCAGTGGGGACTCAACTGTCTTAACTCCTGTCAAAATTTCTGTGTAAATGGATCCTGTCATCACGTGACTGGTCTGTGTGACATTAATTGTGAGTCTGGCTACCAGTCACCCAACTGTACTCAAGGTAAAAAAATATTAATAATTTTTTTTTTCAAATTGCCTCAATTATTACATAATATTTAACTACTACCATTCAAATTATGCCTACACTAGAATTTCTGTTCACATGGAGAGATGGGGGCTATTTTGGAAATTTTCCATCTGTGTTGGACCATTCCACTTGAGAGGCAATGTTGGAATAATCCCCGTGAAAGGCAATGTTGGGAAGTTCCCATTGAGAGACAATAATGGAATAATCCGTTGGACGGAGAAATTTTTGTGTGTTGAATATCCCACTAAAGAGGCAAGGTTGGAATGCTCCAAATAATGATAATTGATTTAATGAATTAATTAGACACAAATAATTTGTGTAAATAAAGCTATATTGTTTCAGCTTTAATAACGATCTTACAGAGTAAAAATCTAAACTTTTCGGCAAAGACCTTCATTAATAGAAAAAAGTCACATATATGTATGAATTGAATTTACATATACACGTTTTCAACTTACATGAAAAAAATAATAGGCTTGGGCAAGTCCTTGTACAAAAAACAACAACATAATTCAGATGAACAGAATTGAAATGGGTGGAAGCACAATTGAAATAGACCAAACAGGAAAGAGGACATTGTAGCTACGAAAAATTGTATAATACTACGTAAAAGGGGCAATGTTGTAATATTGAGTTTAGCATTGTATTACAGTATTGGTATGTATATAAATGTACGTATATATACGTTTGCTAATTGTACTATCTAATTTCCTTTCTAATCATAGATGCGAAATAAATAATGATTATTACATTTTCCCAAGTTAAAAAAAAATAAACATACAATTTTTTATTAAAAATTATTGGGTTTCTGGGGTCGTATTTATCCCTTTTCCACTGGTGTTTCCCCCAATATTGTCATTACGAATGATTCAAACTCGCTTTAATTTTACAGTTCAGAAATCTACCAAAGAAGTCCTGAAAACCGGAAGCACGTGTATCACCATTGGTGTGACCTTGACCTCTGTAGCGATTGCAATGATCGTCGTCACCGCCATTGCCGTTTTCATGTTCAGAAGAAACCGGAAGTTGTCGATCGGGTCGGATACCTCCGTCACTGAGCTGTGTCCGGAAGTTCTGTCCATGGAAGAAGCTGCCACGGATTTGTCAGACGACATATCGCCGTCTGACAGACAGCCGTTGAGTGACTTTTTCAATTAACGAGTTTGTGTCCGTAGCGTTCACTCACAACTCATTCACAGTGAACAAGTATAAATTGTGTTTTGTATACCCTCACATATCTGGTATCGCAAACCTTAATTCAATTTTTTTTTCACCATTGCACTAGGAGCTAAACTAAGGGAGGGAAGGGGGGGGGGGCTGACCACCCAGTGTGGCATCCTGAGGGCAGAAAATTAAATGATTTTATTTTATTGAAAATATTTGTTTTTGGAATTTCGTTTGGGAATGAAGAAAATATTTCCTAACATGATTGCCAATTAGTTTTTAGTTTCATTTTAGTCCCGTTTAGCTTCTTCTTATCTTTGAGTTTGAAAGAAAAATAATTTCATAGAAAACTTAGCAACAATAAATATTTTGCTTAGCCTCCGTTGCGTGTCTACATTAACAATTTTTGTCCAGCTTTTTATCTGCAAGACGAAAAAATGGCATTAAAAAAACAAATCAATACTATCACTATCACAATTTAGCTTTGATTGAGTAGTTCTCAATTATTTATTGGATAACAAAACTTTGTCAAAATTTAAAAGAAAATCATTGCAATAATTAATGATTTATTAATTTGGAAGGGACAGGGTGAGATAGAGTGTGTGTGGTGCTATTTGTGGGTAGCGCCTCCTTCGCATTATCTAGTCACGGTGCGCAACTGCATTTCACCATTTCCATCATCAAGTCATTTTTCTACTGGTTTTTTATTTTTAGCTGCTAATCGTAAAATGCCATGTGCGTACCGTTCTGTTGTCTATTTTTTACGTGTTTTGTTCTTTTGAATAGTAAGAACTTTCCATTTAAACGACCTCTTTATTATATCGATATATATATATTTATATATATATATATATATACATATATATATATATATATATCGATATAATAAAGAGGTCGTTTAAATAAATATATATATGAGCTTTACTATAGTAACTCCAAAGAGCAGAAAAAAATTTAAGTTAGTTCAGATTCCTAAAAATAATCATAGTTATTTTCTATTCTTTTTTACGGAAATCGAATAAATTTAAATGCGCAAAAAATATTTTCAATACACATGTATTTTAGTAAACGTTTAAGTATTATTATTATAAATTACAAATATATTGAAAGTATCAACTAAGGAGCTATTTTAAGCATTTTATATGTGTTTAAAAGGTATGAAAAACATATCTAAAAAAAAAATCCTGATCAAAGAATTACACCGTAATCACATTTATCGGGAAAACCAGTCGTTTTTAGTGCACCTTTTAGTGCGTTGTTAATATTGCGAAATGAAATTTTAAATTGATTTGTTCAAAATAATCACGCAAATGACGTCATAGTGCGAATAGCCTATTTCTACAAAAATCTTCGGTTTCTTTAAATTTAATAACCATGCGTGACAAAAATGATAATATATTTCCCTTCCGAAAAGTAAAATTGATAAATACAATTGATAGCTTTTTAAATTGTTAATTGTTAATTAAATACCACATACATTTCAGCTGTGTATCTTTTAACATTTAAAAAGTTTTGCTTTTTTTAATTCCAAAAAAACACCTTTATTAAAATTATGAATTGGGATGAGTTTTTGCAATTACAGTTAGAAAGTGTCGCAAAGGACCTACCATTAGTAGCCCCATAACATCGGGTCATTTATTCTAGTATGTTAAAATAAAATATTGTCTACCTTCGTTTATCAAGCTACCACTTATCTCATTGTTTGCGTTTTACTTTAGCGGATTAGGTTAATTATCACGGACTTTTTATTCATTTTTTTCTTTTGTCATGGTTTATCATAATATTATATTACTCTGTAAATATTTAAAATTTTAATCTCTTTTTTAAAAGTTTAATGTAAACACATACACCTGTTCTATTTCTTATACGCCTTACATACAAAAATAATACGTTTATTTCATTTTTTTCTTTGGTCGTCTCATTTAATATATATGCATATTTTTGTGTTGATCCATTTAAAAAAACTGTTTAAATTGATACCTTATTTGTCCTAGTTAATTTTATCATTTTTTTAAAGGTACTCAACATTATAAATAAAAAATAAATTAAAATTAGAAAATATAATTGGCAGGAATAAAAGTCCGTTTCATTTTGTGGAAGTCATGACTGTTTATGTGATAAATGAAGAAATCACTACTATTGTCATTTTAGAGCAGTAGACAAGATCGATTTTGTCGTTTGTCATGTCCCAGATTGAAGAAAACCAAAAATGTCTACAGAAATGTGTAAGATGAAAGCTTTTCAATTTCAGAAATGTTCGAAGAGAAAGATTGGGAATTTTTTTTTTTTTTTTTTTTTTGAGGGGGGGGGGGTGTGTAAAGGAGATTGTGAAAGCAACAATAAAAAGATATAAAAATCGCCATATCTCACAAAGGTTGAAGTTGAAGTCGTGGAAATCATTTCATTTGCATCAGAAGACGTTTGCGGATAGAGCGGAGGCACCATTTTTCATGGAGGATTGACATTTCCGGCCAACTACAGGAGGTTTAAAGCTTCACTTGCTATTATAGTTAAATGTTGTGTTCCCACAAAATCAGGTTTCTAATCGGACCCAGGTGTCACGTGAGACAGGAGACTCAGTTGAGAACACATTGCTCCTCCCCCCCCCCTCTCAGTTTTTATTTATTTATTTATTTCAGCTGTAAATTTAATAAGTAAATTAGACCTCTAAAAAAATTAACAGCGAAAGATAGAATTGCTTTGTAAATCGTAAAAATTAAGAGCAAAAAATTTGGGAAATATGATTCCCAGTGCATTTTTAAATGCAAATAAATTTCCAATATTTTTTTTTAATTTGTTAATATGGGCCGCATGATGCCTATGGAAACTCTTGAAGCTCTGTGAAACTGCATAGTGTGCCTTTAGAAGGCACTGGTGATAACCACCCCTTCCCATTTTCTTATAGACTAGACCTCATTATTTTACTTTGAAATTACAAGTCAGTCCACCTTGACCTCATTATTTTACGTTGAGATTACAAGTGACTTCGTCTAGACCTCATTATTTTACTTTTGAGATTACAAGTCATTTCATCTGGACCTCATTATTTTACGTTTAGATTTAAAGTGACTCCGTTTAGACCTGATTATTTTACGTTGAGATGACACGTACATGGGATGCATAAATCTGAGGGAAGCATATTTATCCTGCAAGTACAACTGATCTACGGCTACGTTATGCCTATGCACTGAACTGTGTATAATGAACTGAAACTGTGCATAGTGAACTGAAACTGTGCACAATGAACTGAAACTGTGCATAATGAACTGAAACTGTGCATAATGAACTGAAACTGTGCATATACTTGACTTTGACACGTATGTGAACTGAAACTGTGCACAATGAACTGAAACTGTGCATAATGAACTGAAACTGTGCATAATGAACTGAAACTGTGCATAATGAACTGAAACTGTGCATAATGAACTTAAACTGTGCATAATGAACTGAAACTGTGCATAATGAACTGAAACTGTGCATAATGAACTGAAACTGTGCATAATGAACTGAAACTGTGCATAATGAACTGAAACTGTGCATAGTGAACTGAAACTGTGCATAATGAACTGAAACTGTGCATAATGAACTGAAACTGTGCATAATGAACTGAAACTGTGCATAATGAACTCAAACTGTGCATAATGAACTGAAACTGTGCATAGTGAACTGAAACTGTGCATAGTGAACTGAAACTGTGCATAATGAACTGAAACTGTTCAACTATTTATGTTTTAACCTGTGTTCTTTTTTTTTTATTTCTGTTTTTTCTTTACCTCTCAATGTCATTGACACAGTCCAAAAAAAAAAAAACTTCAAATTTAATAAGAAAAAATATCCCTTCATGATACACACAAAGAGTAAATCAGATGTACAGTGCAAAATAATTTATGTTTTAACCTGTGTTCTTTTTTTTTTATTTCTGTTTTTTCTTTACCTCTCAATGTCATTGACACAGTCCAAAAAAAAAAAGACTTCAAATTTAATAAGAAAAAATATCCCTTCATGATACGCACAAAGAGTGAATCAGATGTACAGTGCAAAATATGGTGCAGAATTTTCTGTAGCACCTAATGGTGTGACTGATATTTCTGAGTACGAACAGGCCCACAAGAGCAGTAGGTGCAATTACATGCAGGCCCACAAGAGCAGTAGGTGTCAGTGCGTCTTCAAAAAGACTTACATAGTTCTTCGGAAATGCAATTTGTGCAAGAAAAGGAAATGCAGTTAGCTGCTGCGGAAGGTATACGACATACCACACTGTCATTCACAACAACACTATGACATACCACACAGTAACAACCACACTATGACACACCACAACGCCAGTCACAACCACACTATGACATACCACAAAGCCTCCTCATCCTCATGTCCCTTAGTCCTTGGTCCGTTGGGGCGCAACAGATGACATGTGAACCATCCTCCTCCATTCCTCACTGTCTTCAGCACTACGCACTGCATCACCCAGTATTAATCCTGTCCACTCTTTGATGTTATCCTCTCATCTTTTTCTTTGTCTTCCTCTTCTTCTCCCTCCTCTTGTGGTGCCCTGCAATATTTCTTTGGCAAGCCCTTGTTTCCTTGTTAGGTTGCCGTACAATTGTAGTTTGCGTTTTTTTACAGTGACCAGTAGTTCATCGTACTCCCCAATTGCCTTGCGAACCCTTTCTTTCACTGTATCATCGGAGATATGGTCCGTACAGCAGATGCCGAAAAATGCTTCTGAAGCATCTCATCTCTATCGCCTTTATTTTCCTTTGAAGATCTGCTGTTAATGTCCAGAATTCACAGGCATACAGGAAAATTGAGAGGACTAATGAGCGCATCAGCTCGATTTTGGTGCTGGGGCTATATTTTTGTCATTCCATATTTTCTTGAGCCTCTTTAGTGCTGTTTTAGTATGCGCAATCCTGGACATCAGTTCGGGCTTGGAGCCTTCTTCTGAGACTATTACTCTTA